GCCATCCCCCCGTTAGAAAGAATTGGTTTTTTATACTTAGGGTCTGTGTAATTATACTACAGCTATGCAAGTATTTATGGTTGTTTTCTTTATCTCTTTGTTTTAAGATTACAACAGAATTTAGACACTTTTCTCAAATACCCGAGACAATTATGCAATTAATCGCAACTAAATTGGCGTTGACGGCCAGCAGTTATTGTCACTTGCACAACCTGACAATCTTTCCCAGAGCCCAGTGGTAGCACTGAGTTGGTTCCTGTCAATTCTAGGCTTGCTGATGACAGCTTGTCTGTCTGTATACAAGACACTTTCTTTTTAAAAGATGGATTAATAAAGTGACTATTTTCAGCTTGAAATTGGGGAAGAGCTCATGCTTTCAAAGTATTGATGGATTTTTTTTACTTACTTACTTATTTTCTGGTGAGGAAGATTCGCCCTGAGCTAACATCCCTTGGCAATCCTCCTCTTGTTTTTTTTTTTTTTTCTTTTTTGCTTGAGGAAGACTAGCCCTGAGCTAACATCTGCACCAATCTTCCTCTATTTTTTGCATGTGGGATGCCTCCACAGCATGACTGGCGAGTGGAGTAGGTCCACGCCTGAGATCCGAACCTGTGAACCCTGGGGCTGAAGCAGAGAGTGCAGAACTTTGATCACTTGGCCACTGGCCGGCTCCCAGGTAATGATGGATTTTAAATCAGTAATCTCACTATTTTAAAGCATGTAACCAAGCAGACACAAGTGCTCTGGATTAAGAGGCAGAAGAACTGGTTCTGGTCCCAGCTTTGCTGGGCACGTCTCATTGGACAAGTTACTCTGCTTTGCTGGCTGGCTGCATAGTAATAACAACAATAACAATAAATAACCATGGATTGAATGCTTAGCACTGTATATGCTGGGCACTGTTCTAAAAACTTTTCACGTATTTCTTTTTTCTTAATCCATTTCAGGTAGAGACATATTCATTTTTCATTTTCAGGTATTAACTGTTCTAAAAGCTTTCAGGTATTTGGGAATCCTACCAAACAGTCCTTGGAGTTATTATTACCCCTGTATTACCGATGAAGAAACTGAGGCAGAGAGCAGTTAAGAAACTTGCCCAGGGTCGGTCTGGTGGTGCAGTGGTTAAGTACACACGTTCCACTTCCAGCAGCCCAGGGTTTGCTGCTTCAGATCCCGGATGTGGACATGGCACCACTTGGCACACCATGCTGTGGTAGGCGTCCCACATAGAAAGCCGAGGAAGATGGGCATGGATGTTAGCTCAGGGCCAGTCTTCCTCAGGAGAAAAAAAAAAAAGAGGAGGATTGGCAGCAGATGTTAGCTCAGGGCTAATCTTCCTCAAAAAAAAAAAGAAGCTTGCCCAGTCTCTCCTGGTTCTCCTCTCACGTGTCTGCACTTCCTCCAGCTTCTTCACCTCCTCCTGCTCCTTAAATGTGGGAGTTCTCCAGAACACTGTCCTTCCTTCCCATGCCCCACGCTTAGCTGGGGAGAGCGCACACCTTCCTGGCTTTACCCCCAGGCAAAGTTCCTGGGGAAGCAGCAACAGGAGTGGGATGGTTTCTATCATGTAGGAGCTGTGTTGAATGGAGGTGGAGCCATCCTCCTCCTAGGCTGCTGCTGTGGCATCTTCACAGCCACCAGACAGAGAAGCCGAGAAGGCAGAACCTAGAGCCCAGCTCACACCTTGTTTTTGCTGGGTGTGCTTCTATACCCAGGGGCTCCCAAGGTTTGGGAGGCAGAGCCTTTGCTTTCCTGCTAATCTGAACTGTGAAAGCCACTACTTATAAGCAAAAGAATCACAGGAGAGGAGGAAAGAGAGACAGTCCACAATGAGGGTGTTGGGCCCACTGGGTGTGCCGGGCTGCACAGCTGCTGTGGAGTCACCTGAGTGGGCTCAGTCGGGACCAGCCTCATGGCTCGCTTTGGCAAGCTAGCTTGGCTTTCAGGGTTGCACAGCGGGCTGCTGAGTGTGACCCAAGGTAAATATGCACACGGTAAGTACTCAGTAACTGCCAGTTTCCCTCCACTCCTCACCCTCCCAAGCCCCAGATACTCCTCCTCCAGCCAGCCCTCCTGGGGCCTGGATGGGTCCTAGAGGCTGCGTATTTCTGGAGACTTTGCACCCTCCGCTCTCATGTTTCTGCCTCTTGCTGACAGGTGCCTAGGGAAACTGAGGCTCGAGGGCACCACTTCATCTTAGCAACAATTACAGGTGGGGAACGTGAAGAAGTTTCTTGTCCCTTTTTGGATTCAGTTCTCTCATTATAAACACATAGCTCAGAAATATAAACCAATGAAACGAAACAACTATGCCAGAAATCCCCTAATGATAGAAAAAATTATATTCAATGAACCTAGGACAACAAAGCCAAAGAGGACTCATAATTAATAAATTCTGCTAAGAAACATGGATGAATTGGTTAGGAAAAATGAAAGTTGATTCACAGCTTTCACACCATGCTGCAGGAAATTCTAGATCAGGATCTTCTGTGGAACAGTGTAGAAGATTACTAGGTGATGTATGAAAAAGAGTTTTGCTCAAATACTTTGGGAAAAAAATCTATCTACTACGTCCTTGTGCTGGGAACACACAGCATGCATTTGTCTCTTGGTTCACCACTGTTTTCCCAGCCCCGAGAGTGCCTCACGCAGGTGCTCAATGAATATTTTGTCCAATGAATGAATTATCATATTTATGGTCTGATAAGTACTGTAATAGAGATAGCTGTTTAGTTTTGTCTAATTCATTGTTTTCCAAATTTATTCAACCATGGAACCCCTTCAGAAAATGTATCAACAACCAATGAAAATAAGTGGAAACCAGCGTGGGAAACACCACTTAGAAGAAACACATATTCATCCCAATTTAGGAAGGAATATATGTATTACTTACAATTGGGGTAATAGGAAAAAATGTAGAATAAGAAATGGAAAAGTGTCACCACAGGAACATTCAAGTACGTTTCAAAAGAAAATAATAAAAATTAAGATCAAAAAAGTACCCATTAGAATAAGAGAAACTGTGAATTGTGAATAAAGATCCTACACAGACCCATACAGAGAACAAAGGCTCCTCGCTGGACAGTCATAGGCAAAGAACGTGTCGCCCAGCAGTGAGTGCAAGAGGAAATTATTGTCGAGCCTTTTCAAGGAAAATGTTTAGTTTCACTAATAATTAAAGAAATGCAAATTAGTCCACTCGCGGACTCTACACAAACGTTAAACCAACAAGCTCTTAAAACCCTGTTTTAAAAGTCTAGAGTTGGAAGGCTTTGAAGAAACATGCATTTTGGGGTGTTCTTGGGAAATTGGTGCAGTCTTTCTGGAGGGCAATCTGGCAAAGTTTACAAAACAGGGCATTAAAATAGCTGTCCCCTTTGACCAAAGTATCCCACTGGTGGAAATTTTCCCTACGGAAATAATTCAAGGGGGAAAAATGTTGAAACAAAGGTTTGCAACAGGGCAAAAATTCTCAGGGCGAAGAGAGAGGGGCAGACCCCCCAGAGGGGAGAATCTGAAGGACCTGGAGATATCCGACAGCCTGTGTCTGCTTTTCTCTATTCCCCAATTTCTCGTATTTTCTATTCATACTCTGGCCTATATTCTCTTGGTTAGGAATCCCACTCTACCCTTCCGCCTTTAACGTTTTTATTTTTTAACTTCATAACTGAAGTCTTACACGTATTTTTTTAGGTACTCAAAGAAAAGATAAATTATCACAAAGTGAACACACTGGTCCAACCACCCAGGTCAAGGAATGTACCACCCCAGAGGGTCTTCTCATGCCAGGTCCCAATCTCCACCTGCGTCCTCCACACCTGAGATCACTATTAATCTGACATCTAACACTGTAAAATGTCTTGCCTCTTTTTGATCTTCATATAATTATTATCATACAGAATGCATTATTCTATGTCTAATTTCTTTTGCTCAACATGGTTTGTAAAATTTATCTACATGGTTGCTCTGTGCCTTGAAATTCTTTTGTTTGCTGGTTTTTGTATGTCAGGTATTCCGTTGTACTAACATACTACAATTTATTTATCCAGCCTGTTTTTCATGGACATTAAAACTGTTTGCACTTCTTGGTTATTACCAGCAACACTGTTGTAAACAATTCTGCATGTCTCATAGAGTACACGTGTATACGTTTTTGTGGGGTACATACCAAACAGGCTCCCATGTTACAGGGTATTTCTATGTTCAAATATTTTTAGATAATGCTGAACAATTTTTCGAAGCTTTATCAATTTGCACTCCCACCAGTAGTGTATGAGAGTCCCTGCTGTCCTACATTTTTGCCAACTTAAGCACTGTCAGTCTTTTAATTTTAACCATTCTGGAGGGTAGGCGTGGTACCTCACTGTGGTTCTAATTTGCATTTCCCTGATGCAAATAAAGTGATGTGAAAGTCCTCCCCCTAGTGGCTAAAATCTGAATTACCAGGGAGATTTTTTTTTTTTTTAGAGTATTCAGATTTCTACAATACCTGGGCCTTCCTCCACATCTCTTCTTCCCCAAAGTGTCTCTAAGAATAAAAAGTGGACCATCTTTCATAAACTCATTGTCCATTGGATATCCTCTTTTACGAAGGGCCCCTTTAAGTTTCTTGCTCATTTTATATTTTTTAATATTAACTTGTAACAGTTCTTTATAGATTCCGACACAAACCCTTTGTTAGTTACAAGTGTTGTTGCCCAAATTTTAAATCAACTCATTTTCACCCATACAAACAGGAGGCTCAATGCAAGTTCAATTTTGTCATTCTCAGAAATGACCAGTAGGTGGCGCCCAAGCCTCGCGCCTGAGCCTTCCACGGGCTGTCCCCGCATTTCAGCTAAATCTCCCAAAATATTTCACAAGTAAGCAAACTTTAAAGAGTGAGAAATCAAACTTAAACCATTGTACAACTAGATAGAATACAGTTAGAATGGGGTTTCTTGGTAGGAACAACACATTAATCGTTTTTGCTCAGAATAAAAGAATAAAAATGTCTTTACCAAAAGGCAGGAAAGCTGGGGTGAGGCTGCCCTGGGGCTGTCGGAGCACCAAGTGGATTCCTTGGAAATACCCTCTGAGAGCAACCTGCAGGCAGATGAGAAAAGGCCATAACTACCAGGCATGGCATTGGGACGCTGTTTCACTGTTCACAAAAGGCAGGGACTGCGAGGACAGCAGAGCAGGGGTCTTTTTGGGGGGTTATAAGTATTTTTCCACCTCCTTTCCCTTATTCCTCTTTACAGTTTTTTCATTAATTATATTTTGTGATTGCTGAAAACTGACTTGGTGGGGCTTAGAAACCTGGTGGGAAACCAGACCCACTCACTGTGATGGAAATGGTGTTCACAGGTGAAGATGTTTGAACCTGAGACCTCATAACTGAGGAGCAGCCTGCCTCCCTCTTCCTCTCCTTCTGCCTTGCTCAGGGTGGATGCTCCCCTGAGCTGGCCCCCCACTCAGCCTTGGACAGGCCTTCCATCCTCCTTGGTCTTTCCCAACCCCCTACCCAATGAATGAATATATGAATGAATGAGTGAGTGAGTGACAAGGTCCTAGCCTTTCTGAGCTTAGAAATCAGAGCATAAAAATTCCACACCCAAATCAAGACCCCAGGAGAGAACGTGGAAGCCCTACAAGTAGAGGGAGCGACTCCAAGAGGGAGCTGTGTGGGGCTTGGCGTGATGGGTTGGCTTGTAATCAGCTGTGATTATGAGCAAGAGGAGAAAGCATGTCTAGTTGAGGGAAAGACATAAACCTGAGCCCAAAGCATATTTGGGATGTGGTGAGAAGGTGACCCCTTTCCTCCAGCCTTCACAATGGTCATCAGCAGGAAGACAGGAACATCAAGCCAGAGATTCAACTCATTTCCTGGGGTAGCCAAGACAAGGTTTTCCCCACTGGGGATCACCACCTCTGATGTCCCCAAGACCTAGCGCAAAGACTGGCACACTGAGATTGCGTTAAATGAACTCATGGGTGCTTTTCATTCTCTTCTGACCCATGTCTGTTCAGACCCAGCACAGCCTGCCTTGCAGCCCATGGAAATAAAGAAAGGCTCAGAAAGAGGCTTGGTTCTCTTTTGTTTTCTTCACTGGGGATGACTGGACAAGCTCGTTTTCTGAGCAATGTGGAAGTTCCCACCCTTACCGGATTTCACATCTTCAAAGGCGAAGGTCATTGCACCACTCAAACTTCCTGGTTCTGGGGGCCGCCAGCGTAGGTGTCCAGAGGCTGGGAGCTGGGCAGGCGCAGGGCCCACAGGTCCAGGTCAGGAAAGCTCATGTCTGCCGGGTGGGAGGGGGTGCCCGGCGCCAGGCTCTGCTCCTCCTCCTTAGGAGGAGAGTCTGACTGTTACTGGGGATGCTGAGGCTGCTGCCCAACACCCGCCACCCCAGCTGACAGTGCCCAAGGCCTGGGCAGGAAGAGGATCCCAGCCGGAGTGCACATCAGTGTAAATGTTGCCCCCTAAACTTTGGCGTTTGGAGTCTCCCCCTTTTCTCCTGGCCCCAGTGGCACTCAGTGGTTTGCTGGAACCAGCTCATACTGCTTGCAAAAGCTAATTGTTAAATTTTCAGGAATTTTACAAACCAGTGGTGAAACAGCCATTATTTTCAAAATTAAATTATAAAACCTTACAAGAAAATGTTATATTTTTAAAAAGCAACAAATACTCAAAATTTATTACTTCCTAATTATTTTTCTACACTCATAGTTATATATGCTCTTGAGGCTATCCCTGCCCACCGTGTCTGTGTGGTGGGAATATTATACGATAGTGAGCTATCGCACATCTCTTCCCAATCCTGCGTTCAGTGCCACCATCGTTGGTAGCTTGAAATTGGTCATGGTGGGAATATTCACACCACCAAAATCAATAAATGCCACCCATCAGGGCTTTTTGCCCCGAGCGCCTATTGTCACACATTGGCTGGCACACCGAGGCACCTCACCCACGGCTCACAGAAGCTAGTTGTGCAGCGGCTGGGAGGACGGCCAGCCCTGGGTTTTCCACCTGCTGCTGCCAGCTCTGGACCTTCTTCTCAGCCAGCCCAGGGGGAGGAGAGGGAGGGGGAAGCAGGGAGGAAGTGGAAGGAAACTGGAAACTCCCCTGGCTCCCCCAGGGCACAGCCGGAGAGCCTGGCTCACCGGCGGGTGGGCAGAACCGTCTGGAGGGATTCAGGGAAGAAAAGTCTGGGGTGTGGAGGGTAATAAGCAGAAAGGAATAAGTGACTGAGGTGAGCAGACAGTGCAGCAGTCCAGGAGGCGGGCCTCGTGGAGTCACAGGGGAAGTCACAGAATGTTGCACTGTTGTGACCGCAAAAGAGAGGGGGGCCAAGAACACACAGAAGTTGGAGCCTGTGGAGCTGGGGTTTCAGTGAAGCCTCTACAGTGCTGGTGCCTGTCCCAGCTATAGTAATGAGGAGGAAGGTGGGCACAGAGAGGAAGTCCTGTCCTGAGGAAGGAGCTCCTGGTGCTGCCTCATCCTTAAAAGTTCTTTTCTCCGGGCATCCCAGCCCTCCTCTCCACACCCTGCCACACACTTGCCCTACATCTTCTCACTCACACCTAAGGCTTCCAGAACCTTCTATCACTGGAAACACTCCAATTTATTTCTCGAGCTGGATGTCTAAACTCGCCACCTCATCCTCCAGACCTGCTGCTCCCGCAGGCTCCCATCTCACAGAGGGGCAGCATCGAGTGTCGGCTGCAAACCTAGGAGGCTGCCTTTGTCCACTGACCCTCACAGCTCAAAGAAACCCCCCTCCCCCCCATCTCCCCACATCCTTCCTCCACCGCCCCGCCACCTCCCAGGCCTCTGACCACTGCTTTCGAAACTCAAATGACTTTTTCTTTCATGTTCCCCATGTTTTGAAAGTTGCCTATGACACTGCACTTATAAAGTAATATACTTTCCGCCCTTTTGAAAATAAAGTTGTACGTACAGCTTCGAATCAGAACTTCATCCACCAAACGCCCACTGAGTAGATAGTTATGCGCCAGGCTCTGTGCTGGGCACGAGGGATGCAAAGGCAAATAGGGCCCGGCCCTGGGCCTCCAGGCCTCACACCTGCTTAGGAGAGAGTCACACAAAGAGAGAATAAACCGTAACAGTGCCCTGAGGTCAGGACAACGATGGGGTGTGCACACGGTCCTACGGGACGTTGGTGGTAAACCTGCCAAACCCAGAAGGCTGGGTGCCCTCGCTGCCACCTCGCTCTCCCTCACTCCTTCCATCCAGTCACTCCCCGGACCCCTGGAGCAGCACCTCCTTAAACTCTCCAATCTGTGCCGTCCCCTCGTCCCACAGCCACATCTTGAGTTTAGGTCGCCACCCTTTGCCACCTGGACTCTGCTCCACTCATTCTCCAGACCAAAGCCAAAAAGGTATTCCTTGAGCACAAAGCCGACCAGGTCATTCCCCTCTTTAAACCCTTCAGTGGCTCCCTGTTGCCCTTAGGATAACGTCCAAACTCCTTCGCATGGCTTCACAGCCCTTTCTAGTCGAACCCACATTCACGCCAGAAATATTTCTCGTGTATTTGTCCACTTAGCGCCAATTTAACTGAACATTCACTATGCGGTAGGTATTGTCCTGGGGACCGCTGTCCTGCTGCGAACATAGCGCACACCCTTCCCTCTCCCGGAGCTTGTCATCTAGCAGGGGACACCGACAGTAAACAGACACTTGTACAAGTAATTGATTGTAAGTGTGAAGACTGCAGGAGAAGGAACATTTCCTCGTCAACTCCCTGCTTTGACCACCATCAACTCCTCGCCATGCCGGCCTTCTCCTCTGTCTGGGCTGCTCCCTTTCCTGAGATGCCCTCTCCTTCAGGTGGCCAGAACTCTGTAGCGCTGCCGGTCAAGATTCCCTTCTCTGGGGCCCTCCCTGAACCTCTTCCATCGAGGGCCCATGGATCCTGCTGTCACCCTGAGCGAGTGCAGAGCACAGGCCCTGTGTCCTCCAGGCCTGGCACAGGACTGGCACCGTAAACCCTCAGTAAGTGTTCACTGTGTGAAGGACTTCTGGGTCCTCTTAATCCGTGTGTGAGTATTTGCATTTCAAATAAAATAGGTATAAAATCATTGACGTCGATTTCACATATTTAGAAAAGTCTGGAGCTGAGTGCTAATAAAGGTACAGGGAAATATTCCTAAAGCCCTAGAGCAGGATGTTTGTGAACCAAGGCCTTTCTGGTGACTGTGACTAGGAGTGTGAGGTCTCTGGGAGGCCCAGGGCGGGTGTGGTGTGGCTGCCGAGGTGAGGAGCCCAAAGCTGCGCTGCCCTCTTTGCTGGGGCTGCCATCTTGCCTCCCGGCTCTTGGCCCAGAGCCCTGGCTGACCTCCCGCTGTCACCCACCACCCTGTCCCTGGACTCAGCTCCTGTGGGCTACACCTTGCTGGGGAGAGGGCAGCTGGGAAAAGAGGGGAACCCCCCAAGGGGGCTGGAGCAGCCGGACACGAGCTGCATCTTAGGGCAGCTTTGCTGAGCATCTGGGCTCCTCTCTGCCGGGTCTGGGGAGGGACGCTGCTCCCCGAACTCCCCAAGCCCACGCACCTGCCCGGGCCTTGTGGCTGAAGCAGGTCTAGCAGCAGCAGCAGCTGGGTGGGGAGGCAGCCTTGTCACCCACCCACTCTGCAAAGCCTCCTGTCCCCTCTGGAAGAGGTTTTGTTCTATCTGGGAGTCCCCACCCTCAGCAACTTATCCACAAAATCCCACGCTGCTCCATCCTTCCTTGGAATCAGAGAGTTGGAGGATCACCTGGTCCACTCCCTTCATTTTACAGTTGATGAGACGGAGGTCCTGAGAGGGAATTAAGTGCCCAAGGTAGCACAGCATGGCCGGTAGGTACGGGCAGAGCTGCGCTTTCAAACAAACAGAAAGGGCAGTCTCCTGAGTCTCCATCAGCCCGGAGCCCCGTCTGCCAAGCCTGTTTTGGGTTGCCTGCCCCAACTTTTCCAGCTGATTTGAACCCCAAAGCCACGCCCCCAACAAAGGAAACTCCAGGAATCACACCACCCCCACCTACACCCTCCTCCACACCCACTCTCATTCATCTGCCCTTCTGACCCAGAGGTGGGGGCAAAGCTTGACCCAACCTGACAGGCCTCTTCCAGGCAGGGACCAGGCGAAGGGACAGCACACTGCCTCCGCGTCAGGACCCACCTGGGTGAGGAGTGGCTGCCAGGCAGGCCTTCGAGAAGGAAACCACGCACAGGTGTGTGCTGTTTACCTTCCTGCCTCACAAACAGGACTGGGCGCTCCCTGCCTGACAGCTTAAAGCCCCAGCCTCTCGCATCCACACAACCGGCCTGTCCCGCGTCATCTCCCGCCACTCCAGAGCCCACGCTCTTTCCCATCCTGTCACCCCGGCCTCAGACGGCACCACACCCCTGTGCCTCTCTGGCTTCGTAGTTAGAGAGATCTGTCTCAAATGCCGTCCCTGCTTCTCCTCACGGCGAGCCCCTTCTGGTTAAGACCCAGCTCAAAGGTCGTCTCCCATCCTCCGTGCAGATGCTTCCTTCCCTCCCGGCTCCTCCCTGGCATGTGCGCAGCCTCTGTGCCACAATCAAGAAAATACAAGGTCATGAATCTGTGTCCCCACTAGACCCTCAGCTGACAGCAACAGTGTCTTTATCTTCACATTCTTAGAGCCCAGCACGTCATAGACACTCCATAAAGGAATAAATTGCTAAACAATGTCAATATGTGGGCCCCGGATTTATCCCAGAGCTAAATCAGGAAGCAAGGTTTACTGTTACACATGGATTCCTTCCAATGCCTTTATTCAACAAATACTTGTGGAGGGTCGCTGTGTGAAAAGCACCGTATAGACGAAGTACTGGGAGCTCAAAGCTGGAGTGGACACGGGAGTCTGCGGGGGAGGTAGAGACAAGCCGGAGAGAGTATGAGTTATCAGGAAATGGCTAGCACTGACTGGCTGTTAGGAGCAGATTATCATATCTAATCGGCCCTACAAGGTGGGCGCTTTATTATTCTTCCCATTTTACAGACGAGGAGACTGAGCCTTTCGGAAGTGGAGAGACTTTGCGATGGCTCAACTAGTAAGTAGTGGAGGCAGGATTTGAACCCAGGCTGCCCCCACACCCCACATGCTCAGACAGAAAGATCTGGCATAAGTATTTTATTGTCTTAGTTAGTGGCCCTCAACCTTGTCTGCACACTGCAAACACCTGGAGAGCTTCCAGAAGCGCTGATGCCCACTGGTCCCACCCCAGACATCCACATGGTGCAGCCTAGGCACTGGGGGCTCTCGTGTGCAGCCAGGGCTGAGGCCCCCGGCTCTAAATGGGGGAGCCCAGTGTCAAGTGTGTAAGGTGTGACCCACCTGCAGCCGGGACACTCCCTGGTTGTTTCAAGGTCCTGTCTGGGGAGATGTGGAGCTTTCCTATCCCCTTGGGAGGGGCCTCAGATTGTGTGGGCAGGGCTGGCACTTCTTCCCTCGCATTTTCTCAGTGTCTCACCAGCTGTGAGCTTCCTGTGGCCTAAAAGTTGCCAAAGACATCTTCCTGGGGAAATTCCATGGTTTCCACGCAAGGAGGCGTGGGTTCTCCAGGATGCCACCCAGCTTTCAGTATGAAGGAGCCAAGATCTGTGGGTCGCAGTGAAGACAGTGGATGAGAGGCCTCCGGGTGGGCAGCTTGTGGGCTGACACGGCCGGGTGGGAAGAGACCACACACCCCTCAGACCCCAGGAGGCAGGCTCTGTCGGGCAGAGGCAGCAGAGCGGGAGGAGGGTCCTGGCTCCACCAGCTGACTGCTGCCCTTGGCAGACGCTGGACGCCACACACTTGCACACACACTCCGAGGATCGGCGAGAATCCCCAGAGCTGGGGAGCCCAGTTGGGTGGATGCAGCCAGCAAGGCTGGGTTTCCCCCTCTTTCGCCCAGGCTGTGACTCAGGGACAAATATTGAAACTGGGGAGCATGACCTTGCCCCAGAGCCCTCTCAGGAGCCCAGGGAGCCCACGGTCCAGTGGCACAGAGGTTGGCAGCATGACATACATATGCGGGGTACACAGAATACTGCCATCATGAGCTGGGTGCCCCAAGCGCCCTGTTCCTCACAGCGGTGTTATGAGCATCATTTCATTGAATCCTTACCACAGCCCTTGAGGCACGTGCCATCCCTTCTCAGGTTTCCAGAGGCAGAGAGCTTGGGGCTTCTCCCGGATCACACGGTCCCTCAGTCAGCAGAGCTGGGTTCGTGTCTGCAGGTGCAGGGTAAACGGACTTGTTCACCCTGGATCTCCCAATGACAAAACTTCCTGCCTCTCAAGTCCTAAGACTAGATGATTCACGGACCGTGTGACCACGCAGGGCCATCACTTAGGGTGGCCACGTCTGTTCTTCTAATCTTAGGGACTAGGACGTGCCCTGTGGCTTCACCCCATAGTGACCATGTGGGGAACAGCTTTCTTCACAGGCAGGACAATGGGTAAGACCCCACAGCGGCCACAGTGGAGGGTGGGGCTCACCCCCAGCCTGTACATATTTTTCAGGGCAGAGACCCTGGTTTCGTTATCTTTGTATAAGCCCCTCCCCATATTACCTAGCACAGTACATGGCACGTGTACTTAATGTACTTAAATGTTTTCTGAATGATTAAACCCAGCGACAAATCTTTTTGCAAAGACTTGTGCCATAATTGATCTCTGGCATACTGAATCTCAAGGATTCCATTGATTCACAAATATATGTGATGAGTGCCTGCGATTTGCCAGGCACATGCCCGCTGCTAGTGCTCCAGTGGCAAGCAAAAAATAGCTCCTTGTGGAGCTCCAGTTTAGTGGGGGAAGGAATTAACTAATTTCCCAAATGCACATAAGATGACAGCTGTGATAAGGTTGCTAAGAGAAAGGGCCACTGGACTATGGAAGTGTAGGCAGAGGGCCTGCCTGGGGGCAGGGAAGTCTTCTTTGAGGAAAATCTTTGCAGGTCAATCCACCCACCAACCCATCCATGACGGCCCATGTGCCAGAGTTTGCTCAGCAAGGAGCCTGGCACATGGTGGCTGCTTGAGTGGTTTTCCCCCGAGGTCCTGCAGAGCAAGAGGAAACCCTGCATCCCCTGAGTGCCCAGTCCTCAATCCACACCCGAGCTTTTAGGTGCAGGTTGTCCAGTCAAGAAGAAAGAGAATTTTTGCCTTTTTATGCAAAGCAGCTTAAACTGAAACTGACCTCATCATGAGTGTCTGAGGTTGTTTCCAGGAAGTGGTGAGCGAGGGAGGGGATGAGCCAATTCTTCAGGAGCCCTGGGGACACACCCAGATTGCCCAACACCGCAGGGCATTGCAGCCCAGCCACCTCCTAGGCCTCGTTGTTGGCCATGGGGCCCCAAGGGGATGTCCTCGCCACTGCCATTTCCTCTGGAGCCCAAGGTCTGCAGGAGACGACACCAGACGGAATCTTCTCCAGGGTCAGATCAGGGCGAGGTCAAGCGCAGGCCTAGAGGAGGGACCCTTGGACCAGCCAGATGAGGCACACAGACCAAAGTGTCTATCAACGACCAGGGGGTGGATGATGACTGTCCTTTCTGATGCTTTGTCCCTGAGCCACCCTCATCCGTTTCCAGGGCTCTTAGTTCACAACAATAATCCTCCCGGCTCTGGACACGTGCTGTCTCCTCCCCTCGGCTTCTGTCTGGCTTTCTGCTCAGTTCTCCTTTCTCTCTCCTGACTGGCTTCTTTCCATCTCTACTCTCTCAATAACTTGGGGTGCAAGTGCCCCTAGATGGCCTCTCAGCCCTGACTGTTCTCCTCAGGCGTGTGCCTCTCACTCTAACTCTTGTCTGTCTCTCACTTGCAGCTCCTGAGAGAGACAGGCTGACCTCATAAACCTTTTCAAGCCGAGGCCTCGTGGGGTCGTTGAGAAGGGGACTGACAACACTGCAGGTCCTCTACGCTCTAATCTCATCCCCTTCTGATCCTCCTGATGCGGGGTCGGTGAGCCGAGGAGTCGAAAGAAAGATTTCTTGGACTCTCAAGATGTGGCAGTAGTGCTCTTTTATTTAGAGAATAGTGTGGAATAGCATGGGGACAGGACCCATGGGCAGTCAGAGCTGCTGCGTGGGGACAGGACCCACGGGCAGGAGGAGGTGCTGCTGCCCCCGCTACTGCTGCCAACATGGGTGGAGAGTAAGGCTAAATTTAAGGCATGGGTATGTGAGCCATCTCTTTACAAGACAACGGAAAGAACATGTAAAAAAGTTAAAATGGTATCAGTGCAGGTGGGGTCTGGCCATTGGGTGGTCCCACAACTTTTAGAGAAGAATCAAATCGGATTAAGTAAAGGCCAGAAGCCACCACCCTAAATCAGTTACCTGAGGTTGCCAGACAGTAACCAACTTAAGTTCTTGCCTTCCCCATTAAGAGTTTCCAGAGATAAGGCCATCCTGCCTTCTTCCTGGCGCAGAGAGGGAGGCATCTTTACAGATGGAGGTTTCCCTTACAAATGTAAACGTTTCTCAACAAAGGGCAAGCAAATTCCACTCCTCAGAGCCTGTTTCTCATCTGCAGTTTTAAAATTAACCAGCCTAAAATCCTCATCACTCTCTCCTTCCCGCTGCTCAAACTGTTTTTCCTTTTGGATGTAGAGATGGCTACTACATCATCACAGGTTCTACCCACCTCCACGGCTGAGAACAGAAACGCTGTGCTCAGTTTCCCAAGCTTTGTCCTCCAAAGAAAAACCCTTTCTCTCCCAACATACTGCAAACGCATGCAGTCTGGCTTTCAGGCTACGGGCTCAGCTATAGATTTTAGAGCCTCTACATTGAAACTTCTTTGTTCTGGACCAGAGCTTCTCAAACTTTAGCCATGCATGACAACCGGAAGAGGTTATGTGTTAAAGCACAGAATCCTGGGCCTCCCCCAGAGACTCAGACCCAGTAGGTCTTGGTGTGGCCCCAGAATTTGCATCACTTCCAGTTGGTGCTGAGGCTGCCGGTCCACCAACTGTACTTGGAGTAGGACTGTTCTTGCATCTCAGTCCTCACCCTGAGGCAAGAATGTTCTGGCTTAAAGTTAGAGGGAAGAAGAGCAGTGAGAAAACGATGCAGGAATGAAATATCTCAATGAAACGCTTCTAAACATTAACTTCCCTCGGTTTACCCCCTGAGATGAATCTCCCTCAGCAAAGCAAGGTTCTGAGAAGTTAGGAAACTTGCCCACGGCCCCCAGGTCTTGACTGGCAGAGCCTGGAGTTGGGTGCTGACCTGTCTACTTGCTCCTGGCCCACTGTGTCAACTGTGAAGCTGAATTAATGTAAGGTTTGATAGTCACTGGCAGAACCACTGCCATTTGTCCTGACACAGGCGGTCAATAATGTCATCTCTACAGAGAAATGAAGATGTTCTCTAAGGTGTATGCACCTACCCATACACCTGATAAATCCATGCTCCTCTGGTCAGGGTGCCGGGATGTGTGTGACTGACAGGCAGTCAGGGCAGCCTGGCCAGGAGAGGCATTCCCACCCTTGAGTCTTTCACGCCTGGCTTGACCCTGCTCTCCAGATAGCAAGAGTTCCACTGATGGCTGAGGACCAGCTGAGAATCTCATTGGCTGGGGGGGGCAGTTCCCCGCTAATCACCAAATGTTGTAAGGAGCAGAGAGCTTCAGCACAGTGGCTCTCAAAGTGTGGTCCCCGGAGCAGCAGCAGCCTCATCTGGGAACTTGTTAGAAACCCAAATACTTGGGTCCCACCCTGGAACTACTGAAGTGGAAATTGTGAGTTTGGGACCCATTTTAACATGTCTTCCAGGAGATTCTGAGATACAGCTAAAGTTTGAGAACCACTCTTCTACTGAAAGAATTAGCCAGATTTCTAGTGTGGTTTGGAAGGATTTGGTTTGGTGACGTTGAGGGTTCCTTGCTTGCTGAGCGAGCCCTAACATATATCAGTGGCAGAGGAGTTGGTGAAGCATATACTAATCCAGCTGTGAAGTCAACTGTGACCTCCTGCCTCACTTGGTTACAGCCTTGCCCTGGAGAGGAGAGGCTTGTTGCTATGGTAACTCTGCCTGGGCCCTTCCTCTGTGGGTGGTCATATTTGCATCACTTAGACACCAGGTAAAGCCAGTGTCTGGACTCTGCACCCAGATCCGTCCATACCAGAGCCCAGAGAGCCTATTTGTTGTCATGGCAGGGACAGACTGAACCACAAGCCCTGGCCCCATTGGTCTTGTTGGTGTGCTGTTTTTTTTTTTTTAAAGATTTTATTTTTTTCCCTTTTTCTCCCCAAAGCCCCCCGGTACATAGTTGTATATTCTTCGTTGTGGGTCCTTCTAGTTGTGGCATGTGGGATGCTGCCTCAGCGTGGTTCGATGAGCAGTGCCATGTCCGCGCCCAGGATTCGAACCAACGAAACACTGGGCTGCCTGCAGCGGAGTGCGCAAACTTAACCACTCAGCCACAGGGCCAGCCCCTTGTTGGTGTGTTTTTTACAATCTTGAGCAACTTCCAATTTTGGGTTTTTGGGAAAAAAGCAAATCAAACGTAATATATGGTGGAGGGAGGGATTACTGCATATGGCATAATTATGCCAGCCTCTGTTATCTCTTGAGGCAAGATAGCAAGTAAATGTGGGACATACCATAAAACTCCTCTTTTTTAAGTGTCCAATTCAGTGGTTTTTAATTTTAAAAGTAAGTGATGCCACACGAGAACTTTCTGGAGTGACAGAAATGTTCAGCAGCTTGTTTTGAATGATGGTTTCATGGGTGCATATAATTATCAAAATGCTTCTAACTAACAATTAAGATCTGTTCCTTTTATTATATCTAAGCTATACCTCAATTAAAAAAAAAAAAATAGGGGCCAGCCCCGTGGCCAAGTGGTTAAGTTCACACACTTGGCTTCAGCAGCCCAGGGTTTCAGAGGTTTGGATCCTGGGCGCGGGCATGGCACTGCTCATCAGGCCATGTTGAGGTGGCATCTCACATAGCACAACCAGAAGGACCCACAACTAAAATATACAACTATGTACTGGGGGGCTTTGGGGAGAAGAAGAAATAAAAATAAATTGGTTAACAGATAGCTCAGGGGCCAATCTAAAAATAATTATAATAATTTTAAAAGTAAATGGTGCCACTTCAAAAAAATCTAAAACAATTAGAATTTGAGAAATGTTTAGTGGTTGACTCAATGAACTTGTCTCCAAAATAACAAGCAAACAACAGATCAGATTTGCCTTGTGGTAGGAACTCATTTCTCAGTCACGTTGACAAGGAGAATTCAGAGAAGCAAAGGTATTATAACATAAAATGAGTCAGGTTCACCTGCCTGGGGCCGTACAGCCTTAACCAACACCACGGAGCAGCATCAACTTCACAATTACACACGACAAAGTAAAGGAAACATCACACACGTGACTCGATATAAATACAAAAAAGTGGAGTTTAATTTTTTAAACAGTACTTCCTCTCTTCAAATAAGCAGTATTTTATTATATATACATATATTATAAGTCATAGTAGGTGAATGAGCAAATTGGTTTTTGAGTGTGTGCGAGAGTTATCAAATTTGGGGTTTTCCTTAATTTTATTCTAATTTTCATTTTGTAGCTAAGTATATGCACACAGGCAGATGATGTAGTAACACACCACCAAAACAAAACAAAAAGCCTTAGTTTCTAGAGAGAAATTATATCATTGCTTGAGGCAGCTTTCTAAGCATGGGGAAAACACATTATAAGGGATAATTACCAGAAAAACGAATCCCAACGCCTCCTGCTATCTTAGGTACATGCGTTCATTTCACCCTCCTTCCTATTCAAACCGCACACCATCACTTTTGAATGTGAGGATATATGTAACGTGCTTGTGTGAATATCGTGATTATTAATATGGAGATTTGTCTCTAAGGATATATTTATATATTGTATAACATGTATATATATGTAACTATTTTTGTTGCTATGTCTTTTCTGGATGGGAGATCCTCTATGTGGGCATAGACGCAGTGGCTCTTATCTTTGGCCAGGTGTCTACATAGGTTGGCGTCAAGGTGGGGTACATTTACCTATGGGTGTGCTCCAGCAAAGGTTTATCACTGGGGCGTTGTGAACTAAGGTGGAGCCATCACCAGAAGAGCTATGTGTGAATTTCAAACAGGCAATGTTCCCACTCAGGGAAGAATATAATTTTAAACACATTAAGAGTGTTCTACTTTATAGCGATAATCATTTTTTAAAAAGAGAGAAGGGAACACTTATTGAACAACTAGTACATGTCAAACACCACGTTAACTACTTTATTATCTCACATAATCTTCACAACTAACCCAAGCAGGTACAAATTAACCCAATTTTATAGATGAGGAACCTGAGGTTTGTCCAAAGCGACACAGGTACTAAGTGGCAGAGAGGTCTGATTTCAGAGCATGTAATTTCATTCTCTACCAGAAAGTCCCAACTAAGATGTGAGAGAATTTCCCCAAGAAAATAAAAAACGATGGCGAATGAGTATTTAATTAGACCTCACTCCAGTCTTTAGCGATATGGAACAGGATTTTAAGTTTTTTATTCAGAAAGCTTCCTTCACATCTTGTTTCTCATGTGAGAGAATTATAGATGTTGGCGTAAGGCTCACGGCCATAAAGCTGAAAGGACTCCAGGCTTTGGTTTAATTGCCAACTGGAACAACTCCTGACAGGGTAGAGCTCCCCTCTCTAGGCTCCAGGACGCATCTCCCGGTCCTCCTTCCCTAACCATTTCTCCCCATCCCCATCAGGGACCAGACCCTCTTCCCCTGCCCATGTCTTTCATGACGATGTCCCTCTCTGCTCAGTCTTCATGTCACTTTACATGCCCTCTCCCCTCTGCCCCCAGTAGGCAATCTCATCCACGCCCTTGGTTTTACCACCCCACAAACTGTCTCCAGCTCACGCCCCGTTGCAGCTCTCTAGAAGTAATTTACATAGATAGCTCCCTGGCTCCCAACAGGATTCCAAGGCCTAACTCATTTTCTTCCTTATCTGCCCCTCCCTTGAACATTCTATTTTTTTGCTCCTATATTTTCCGTCTTGGCACCACCACGCACCCAGCTACTCTCAGGTGAGAAATTTGGAGTCATTTTGGATATCCCTCAGCTACATCCAATGAGCCTTGAGGTCTTCTCGTCATTTGCTCTCCAATGCAGCCTCTTTTTTTCATTCCCTCCACCACTGCCTTGGTTGGTTATGGCCTTACTGTCTGTACCCTGGGCCACTGGCAGCAGCTGGTCTCTGGCCTCCAACCAAAGTCCCTTCCAATGCGCACCCCCCACCTCTCGTTGCTATAGCCCATACTCCATTAAGTAAACTGTATTCTCTCTTTCCCCAACTTAAAACCCTTTTCTGGTTCCTTTGTACCTGCAGGATAATAGCATAAAAGGTCCTACGTATTCCACCTATCCTGCTTTATAGTCCAATATTAAATTCCATGTGTTATACTACTCCAAGTTTCCAGAAAGTATGTTATTTTGACCCCTTATGCCTTGGTCAATACGCACCTCTACTTCAATTGCCCTGCTGACTTCTCACTACTGGTTTTTCAAGAAACTAGACTGATTAGTCTTTCAGAATCCATCTTCTTGGGAAAACTTTCCTTTGTACCATGTGCTTCTTTCTATCCTGGCTTTATTGTCACTGTATTGCTTTGATTTGTTCCTAAGTGTGTCTCCCTTTCCTATGTCAGATCCTTGAGGCCAGCACAATGCCCTCCACATAATGAATGCTCAGTAATCGTACAACTTCTTAAATATTTAAATTATACGAGAATGTCATTTTGATATCTCACATTAAAAAAGGTCAAAGTCCACATCAAAGAGAATCTTATCCAGATCAAATTCTGTAGAGACAGCAGTTTGAAACAAGCTCCTCTGCAGTCGTTCTCATGACCCAATATTTATCGAGGACTCAGGGCAACAAGTGGACTTTGGATTGGATTCTGGACCTAAAACCACAGCTATAAAGGACATTACAAGGAGAGAAAATAGAAACGGATTGTATGTTAGGTGATACTATTGTACTAATGCTAATTTTCTTAGGGAGGATACTGTATTACAGTCAGCTAGAATGTCCTTCCTCTTAGGCATGAAAAGCTTTACGACATCTGCAACTCATTTTCAAAGACTCTGTTTTAAAAGAGCATAATATACAGAAAGATATAGCAAAGGTGGCAAAATGTTAATTTATAAAAAGCGTGAGTGTTCTTTGTACTAATTTTTCAACTTCTCTGCATATTTGAAGATTTGTGAAATAAGACATTGGGGGAAAATGCTAAGAACACAACCAAAAATGAAATCAATAAATCTTTTGAAATGTAATTGTCAATATGACTCTTGGCCTTTCTCCCTCCCAAACCTGCTGCCTGCTCCCTTCCATGGCCGCGTTCACCCTTAAAGCCACCGCATTTCAATGAAGCTTGTGTTTTAAAGTTGAAAGGCATGGTCACCCCTCATAAAACACTCTACAATTTGCTCTCCTCATTAGCCAACTATCACAAGGCCGTTTAGTTTTATTTTCCTAAATGGTATCACATTGCACTTTAGAAGTTTAAGCAAATAAAATTGTGCTTCCTAATTGGTACATGTACTTCCTTGAGATGAAACATGAGAAATTTTCAATCTGAGGAAACTTGAGGCCACAAGGAAGCAGCAGAGGTTGGCGGAAATAGTCTTGCTTTAATCCTTTCAGAATTGCCGAGTCTCTAGCAGGAGCTAGTTATTTTTATTGCCTTGACGGTGATAAGAATTTAGGCCTTCTCTTAAATTTTTATTACATTTAAACAGAAATTAAGAAAAAAGCATCTATCACCTTTATTTAAAAGAGTTAATAAACCTAGGTATATACCCAAGAGAACTGAAAATATATGGCTGCACTAAATCTTGTACCTGGCTGTTCATGACAGCATGATCCATAATGGCCCAAAAGTGGGAAGAATCCAAATGTCCACCAACCGATGGATAAATAAAATGCATCCATCCATACAATGGACTATTAGTCATAAAAAGGAATGATATACTGATAGAAGGCATAACATGGATGAATCTTGAAAACATTATGCTAAGTGAAAGGAATCAGACACAGAGGCCACATAATGTATGATTCCATTTATATGAAATATCCAGAACAGGCAAATCCATAAAGACAAAATTCATCAGTGTTTGCCTGGGGCTGGAAGCAGAGGGGTCAGGAATGGCAGAATGAATGCTATGGTTACAGGGTTCTTTTTGGGGTGATGAAAACGTTCTGGAATTAGATGGTGGAGACAGTTGAAAAACATCATGAATATACTGAAAACCATAGAATTGTGCACTTTAAATGGATGAATACTATGGTATGTGAATTATATCTCAATTTTTTTTAAAGTTAATGAAAAGCAATTTTATCTACTTGGTCCTATTTTCAAGAACAGTCAAGGAGGGAAACCCAGAGGAATGCTGGGTTTGATTGCACCTTCAGTCTCCGAGTCATCACTGGCCAGAGAGAAGAGGTGCCCCAGACTCCTCCCCTCCCCAACCCTCACAGGAGCACCATTGTCAGCCTTGGCATCTTTAGGGCCAATCTCAGCACGCCCCACCTTCCTATTCACCACCAGAATCCCAGCACGTCCTCCAGGACCCATCCTTATGCAATCTCATACCCCATCTCTTCTTCATTTTCCTCACTGAACTTATTACCATCTTTTCTTCATCTCCCTCCAGAATTCAGTTTTATTCATTACTTTATCTCATCTGCACAAAAACAGTCCCCCAGCTAACAGTTGGTGCTCAATAAATTTCTGGTGAATGAATAAACTTGGAAGAAAAGTTTACACAGAAATTTGCACTGGATATTATTTAAAAGATGAAGCTCCATGCTTCAAAATGTGTTTCTCTCCCATAAAAAAAGACTTTCTCCTCCATTTAAATATGTATCTAATCTTTAAGAAATCTTGCACAAATGGTATTTTATTACAGACAATCTAATTTACAAATCTTTATACATTTCAAGGAAAACAGTCAGGCATCATAAACATAAAAATTTCAGTATGCAAAATTCAAACTTACAACAAGAAAATAAACATAGAAACTTATTTTTGGACTACGTGGTTATCACTGCACTATCTTTAAAATTCCTTATCCAGAGTCCGAAAAAGTAGGCAAGCCCTAAAAATGTAGCAGAAGCATTTCCGCACACTGGTACCCATAATCTAGTTTGTGCAGAAGTGTTTCCACTAGATTCATAGAGTACTCTTGGGAAGAAAGGGGCGAGGGCTGGTCATTTGGTCGCCCTTCGGACCTTCTGCAACTCTTCAATGGGCTTCCATTCTTGGTTGATTGTTATAAGCTTTAAAAAAAAAGGAAAATAAAAATGTTTTGCTAGGATCTGTCCTTCCTCCTCTCGTCCCCTTTTGGGATCTGTCCACACTCCCCTCTGAAGAAAGCACCACCACAGCATTTGTAGTCAAAGAATCACCTCTTCCCATCTCTAAAACATGCACAAAACAGTAACACAGGTTGGCTTCTATCCCTCTATCCCTCTAAAGAGCCCTGGGGTTCCTAATTGTTATAGGATCAGAGAGAAGGGTATTATACATTCACCTCACTTTCACTTAACAAGTTCTAAATTTTTAAACTTCCCAAGGCTTTATATGACCTATAAGTTCAAAAAAGTGCATCAGCTCCTTATGAGTGGATGGATAATGCTCCTAGCGTGGGGCTTGGCACACAGTAGGCTCTTGATAAAATTTCTTCATTGTAATTACTCAGTGAAGGTACAAGGGATCTAAGTCATACATAAGGGAAAGGTAGAGAGCTGTGGACAGTCCTTGACTTTCAAAGGACTCATATGCAGAGATTCTCATTTATCCTCACAAGTTCTCTATCACCCCAGGACCTAGGAGATGTAGGTGGTTTCAAAGATCCTAAACATCCTTCACTAAGTCAAACTGTGTTATTACAAAGTTTTGTTAAAAAAAAAACCAAAACATATAGGGGTCAGCCCTGTGGCTGAGTGGTTGGGTTTGCACACTTCACTTCGGCAGCCCAGGGTTGGCCGGTTCAGATCCTGGGCACAGACCTGCACATCACTCACCAAGCCATGCTGTGGTGGCATCCCACATAAAAGAGCTAGAATGACGTACAACTAGGATATACAACTGTGTGCTGGGGCTTTGGGGAGAAAAAGAAAAAAAAAAGAGGAAGATTGGCAACAGATATTAGCTCAGGGCCAATCTTCCTCACCAAAAAAAGTATACTTAAAAAAAATATATATATCTTTCCTGACAGACCTAAGTAGTATTCATTCCAACAGAGTAAATATTTCTTACTTCCAAAATATTTAAAATGTGAAAAATCTTGGCACTACTCTTAGAAGAATGAGTAGATATTAGCTAATTTTGATTAAAGAGAATGTCATTCCTGTTTTCAGGAACTCCTGTTATTTATCACAATAGACCTTATATTAACTTTAGATAAATAAAGCATAAAAATGAGATAATGTATTATAATAATGATAAAAGTTAATATTTGACTGCTTACTATGGGCGAGGCACTGTACTAATGGGCTCTATGTGTTTTATCCTCTTTAACCCTCTTAATTCTGAGGTAGAGCCTTATTATTGGGCCCATTTTATACATTCTGCGAGTCTCAGGGCAAATTGTCTAACATCACCTGTGAATGATGGAACAAGGACTTGCACTAGATCTCTCAAACTCCATAGCACCCTCTCTAACACTCACCAGCACCCTAAAAGTGAAAGGTATTACATCTATTTTGCTGACAAGGGTGCTAAGGCTTGAGCTAACTGTAAATCACTTTCAAATTTAGCAATACCTTTGTAGGTACACTAGGATCCACAGTTTCCCAAGGTTCTGGATTTCTTTTTCGATCAATGCTAAAAATAAAAGAAAGCTGATTAAACAAAGTCAGCGAATTTAAACCAACTCTGATCTTGGGTCTATACACACGCCAGGGACAGACCCAGACTGCCTACCCAGGCATTCATCCATTAACTGAAATTGAGGGAAGATTCCTATCAATCTGCGCTCAAGGAGCTTCACGGTTTGGCTCAAACATTGAGGATCAACACCTCTACAGGTAGGAGGTCAGATTCCCTTCATTGGGCCACACTGGAGAATGTTCCCATAAGATGAGTAGCAACGAGGGTGGAAGCGCCAGGATAAGAACAAGCAAAAGTGTTCTTGCCCTGGTTTCTGGCACCAGCAGAAGGGCTGGACTTGAAGGCTGTAAGGTGGTGAAATGCAGGGCACGAGGTCCCTCTGTCAGAGGCGAGTTTTACTGGCCTTTCCAGCCCTGCGCCAGGCCCAGATCAGTTTCAAGTCTTTGTCTTGCTCATATTCCAGGATGTGTGGTATTTTACCTTCCTATATCCAGAGCTGAGATTGGGTTCATTGCCGACAACTGAATCTATAAACTCTACCGAATTAGGAAAGACCTTTCTAACAAATTGAAATGTAAAAATTTCTTTAAAATAACGATTTAATTTTGATGATGTATATCCCAAAATACCATTTAAGAACTTTAAATTTCAAAACTTAAAAAGAAAAAAAATCAAACTACGCTGCAGGAGAAGAGGAGGAGGGTCAATGGATGAAAGGATATTTAGATACAGGAAACAAACTAATTTTATTCATAGCATAATTTAAGTCTTTTGATACCAGGATGTTTTCTAGTCCAAGTTCACAATTTAACATTCTTATCCTGGGGAGAAAAACCAGGAAACTGATACCATGCATTTCCTAACCCGAAGGTCAACCTAACACTGCCACAAGCGTTTTTATAAATGGTGCCTACTTACATCACATCGGTTTTTCGAAGGGAATATAGAGCAAAAGACGTAGCTCCAGTCGCCGCCACGGTCATGAACGCCACCAAAGGAATAAGCTAACAGAGAACAGGTGGAGAGTAAATATTCCGATGTTTCAACGTGAACTACAACAGAATTGCTATATACCATTGTACACTTTCTTCAAAATTTGCACCCTCTGTTCATCTTTTAAAATTAATATTTTCAGTCGAGATTTTCAACTGCTTTAGAAACTTACCTCCTTCTTTTTCCTCAGGAGTTGGAAAAAGTTCATGATGACTTCAGTGTCGAATGCCAAATCTAGAATTAAAAAGTCCAAGATATTGATCAAAACTTCAGCCCCTAGGACCCAACCTGGGAGGCGTCGACCCATCCAGCGTTCTCCAAAGCCGAGCCTCGGGCCGGCTCGCCGGCGCCTGCGCCCGCGGGCAGCTCACCTGGGGGACGGGCGGGGCGCCGCGCAGACGAAGCTAACGCCCAGAGCCGAGCGCGCCTCGGCCTCGGCGCCTTATATCCCAACCACAACCGCTCCGGAAGCGCCGGCCCGGGCGTTCGGGTCACGCGGGCGGGCAGGGGGCGTACGGGACCTGCCTGACTCGCTTTCCCCGCTCGGCGCCGGCTCCCGGGCGCCCCCTGCAGGCCGCCGTGTCCACAGACGCTGTGCAGCCGAACGCGGGCGCCGGCGCCCCCTGCCGCTCGCCCGGGTTCTAACCCGCCGCCCCGCGCGAGCCCGGGCTGGGCGTGGGCGCTCCGGGTGGTTCCCGGCCAGCCCCGGCGCCTGCAAGGGTCGGGTACTGGGAACAAGAGGTGAAAACCAACCCCTCTAAAAGGGGATCCGGAAAAGAAGCCGCCGAGCCAGGGGTCCTAGGGGAGGCTCCCAGGTGCAGGCAGGTAAATGAGAATTAAATCTAATGACGTTAAAAGCTGCAAAACGTGATGTAGCGCACATATGGTGATAAGTGAAGTTAAATTGTAAAGTGCTTTCAGAATAACTCCCATGGTATCCTGATTTTTCCCGTTGAAAAAAGTCAGGGGGTTAGGGGAGAAGAAATAAAAAGAATCAGCTTGAAAGACTTCCGAGAGAAGATCTATCTCTGAGACGACCCCGACGGCTGGCTTCGTCTTGAGGTCCCCTTTTAACTCGCCCCTTAGCTAGCAGCCTGGCCTTGCACAGAGCATGCAGGCGGCTGCAAAACCACGGAAATAAGGAGAACAACAATTCCATTAAATCAGCGGCTGTGTGCCAGACACTGTGCTGGAATCTTCTCCACATTTTTGCAAGGTATGTTATTTAGGCTCAGAGATGCTCTAGTCACATAGCCAGTAAGAGGCAGAGATGTAATCAGAACCCAGGTTTGTCTGGCATCGACATCACTATTCTTTCTGCTCCCTGCTCTTAGCTACTGCAGTTAAGACAAGAGCGCAAGCTCAGTTGTTTAAAAACAACTATTTTTAAACTATCTGAAGTCCAAGCTATGAGTTAACGTTAAAACAGAAACATCTTAATGTTCCGTGGAAAGGGCCAGACCCAGCTCTGTTTCAACCTCATTTAATTCTAGACAAGGGCTCTGCATTCAAACAGACCTGAGTTCAGAGCCCACCCCTGCCACACTTTACTACCAGACTGATTTCGAGGAAACTACTTCACCTTTATGAGTCTCAGTTTATATATCTGTCAGATGGGACAAACCTAGCTCAGGAGGGAATTGGAAAAAACGTATGTAAAGCACGTGGCACTCTGCCTTGCCTGTAGTAGGCACTCAACAAATAGTAATTATGGTTTGAAAAGATTTGTTTTATATGAAGCGGATCATAAATGTAGCTTCCTGCCCACTCATTATGACAGGGGTTCTTAATGTGTGACCCCAGAGCGGTAACTGGAGACATTTCTAAAGCTACTTTTGTCAGAAAGTTCTTTAAAAACAAAACCCCTCATTTTGTTAATTAAAGATAATTTTTCTGGGAAGGAAGAGTGGAAGGAAGAAATCTTATAAGAAATTAAAATGTGTAGCCCCTGCCTGGTAAGGACCTCAAACTCAGAGCCCTACTTGACCAATGTCATTTCTTTTCAAGATGCAGTACTGTTTTCTAGTACTCTAGGCATTTTTCCGGGAGTGGGGACACAGTAAATTTAAAAGATTAATGACACAAGTCTTTTACTTCAGGGTTCTTACAAGTTAGTGCCCACAAGTAACAACCCCTCCACAGATAATTCATTCTAAGGAGGTCTGAGAAAATTTATAAAAGATGAGGGTATTTATTTGAATGTACAAATAGACAAACCAACTGTAAGAGACATTTATTAGGCCAGGTATGAAATAATATTAAAGAGTATTGTTAATTTTGTTAGCTATGATAAATGGTATTATGGTTATGCTGAAAAGAAAACCTTAAGAGATTGCATATGGAGATAGTTAAGGAAGAAATATGATGTCTGGGATTTACTTTAAAATACTTCAGTTAATGAAAACAAATGAAGCAAACAGCAAAATAATTATTCAATCTAGGTGATAGGTATGTGGGAGTTTATTATTCTATTTTTATGCATGTTTGAAAATGTTCAGAATAAAATGTTTTAAAAACTCACAGAGTAGGAGCCAGCCTCGTGGTGCAGCGATTAAGTGAGCATGTTCTGCTTCTCCGCGGCCCAAGGTTCGCCGGTTACCAACCCGCGTGCGGACATGGCACCGCTTGGCAAAAGCCATGCTGTGGCAGGCGTAGAGGAAGATGGGCATGCATGTTAGCTCAGGGCCAGTCTTCCTTAGCAAAAAGAGGAGGATTGGCAGTAGTTAGCTCAGGGCTAATCTTCCTCAAAAAAAAAAAATTCACAGAGTATACAGTTAGATATGATGTGCCCATATAACCTTTAAGATCTGCGTATTTCTATTTGCAGCAATAAGAATTAGACCCAGAAAGCCACTTTCCCGTCTTTCAGTTAATGTCCAGGTTTACTGAGCTTGTGGGAGACGCGAGGTCCACGTGTAGTTTGGGCTTTCCCAGGGTGACTAGCAGGCACAGTTCCCACTCTTCAAACCCTGGCAGCCCCCAAAGGAACCAACTCAGGACACTCACCAGCATCATCCTCTGTGGCTGCTTCAAAGCCAATAATCCCTTAGGGGAGCTTCCCTGCCCCACCCCAATTGCCAGAAACGTCTAGAACTTTCTCTAGCTGCCAAAACCCAGGCTTGCAGGAGCATGGAGCCATGGCTGCTTGGTTTCTACTCCAGGAATTTAAATTTAGATTTTAATTGGCCCAGCTCAGGTTTTATAATGAAAATAGCATATTCTTTTATGAAATATTTTTTGTTGAAAATTCTTTCTGCCCATCCTTCAGTGGCCGCCTAGTTATCAGGTTTAGCAAATCCTGGATTTGTTAAATTTTGGAAGGTCCATATGGTTTAAGGCTGTTAATGTGGCTCAGAAAGGAGCTTGAGCTCAATGTAGGGAAAACTGTTCACACTGCCCAGGTGCTTAGAAGCTGAAATGTTTTAATTTTCTCGCTGATTAAGAACACAGCTTTTGGAAGTTGCCCAGAGCCATCCTTAAATCACATTACAACTGAGTCAAAGAAAACCTTGATCTGCCTTCATCATTTATTATTTCGATGAGAGAAGACACATGAATTTTGTCCTCAGGCTTCTAAAGTTCTGTCGAGAAGTTATAGTTGCAATTTAAAAAGACATTTTGAAATCAAAACTCAGCCTCAAACTAAAGAATGGGTCCTAAATTTCCAGCCTAACCACAAGAAACTTTTTCTACAAAAAAACAAGGGGCCCACAGCTAGAGTATGAATTATTGAGTTCAGGCCAGACAGGTCTTGGGATGGCAAAGGCTTCACAGCTTCCTTGTCACGTAAAATCAATAACGGATAGAGAACATGAATGAAAATTGTCAGAGTTCTTATAAAGTTTCTAGGTATTTTCCCTACTCCTCAAAAGCGAGGAGTCAGTAAGAATAATTTTAACTGAATTATACTTTGTACTTGTAAACAAGACACGTCTTTTCCTTAATTATTCCCAAATAGTGAGGTTTTGCTTACTCACTAGTCCTGGCTCCAGTTAGAAATAGCAAACTTTCCAACAAAGGCCTAACACTGATGACTTCCTGTATTTCAGAAACTATGCTGTGATCACACCCCGTCCATCTGTTGAAGTGCGTCTCCTTGCTGTGCTGAATTCCCTGAATGATCTGAAGTCCATGCTCCCAGCGGCCCTATCAGTGCCATGTCTGTCTCTACTACACTCCAGCACCTAGGATGGCACCTTGAGTGATGGTTCAGTAAGATGCTCACTAGATATTGTTAGGTGAGAAAAATAGGAGGTACAAGTACTACGTTTTTTGGGTTTTGAAAAATTATCTATACATGCATAGGTACTGGAAAGTTAAATACCCAAGTGTTTTCTTCATGTTTATCTGTACTTTCCAGCATTCTAATTACTTTTACCAATTACTTTTTAATTCTAATTACTTTTGTAATAAAGGAAAATAAAAATGTATATATAATCTATGTCCTTAAAAAACACTTATAATTACAAAAGGAAAAATAGTAGCTATACAGTGGAGAAACTGGACAGTACCGTAAACAAGTGATCAAAGTTAGTATCACCAATAATGTGCAGATGTCACGTGCCTCCAGCTGCGCTGAGGACATGACACCCCTTCTGTAGCACTCCACTGGCGATACATAACCTGAACCTGTCATGTTGTGACATCAGACAAACACAAATCAGGAACCAGTTGTTCTATAAAATACTAAGTGTGTACTCTTCAAAAATGTTATGGTCAAGAAAGACTGGGGAGGGGCTGGCCCCGTGGCCGAGTGGTTAAGTTCGCGCGCTCCGCTGCAGGCGGCCCAGTGTTTCGTTGGTTCCAATCCTGGGCACGGACATGGCACTGCTCATCAAACCACGCTGAGGCAGCGTCCCACATGCCACAACTAGAAGGACCCACAACGAAGAATATACAACTATGTACCGGGGGGCTTTGGGGAGAAAAAGGAAAAAATAAAATCTTTAAAAAAAATAATAAAAAAAAATAAAATAAAAAAGAAAGACTGGGGAAATGTTTCAGATTAAAAGAAGCTAAAGAGACAAAAGAACTAAACAGAATGTATGATCCTAGACTGGATACTGTAATGGGAAAAAAATTACTATTGGGACAATGGATTAAATTCACTGGACGACAGATTAAAATATTGTATCAATGTTAAATTTCCTGAATTTGATAACTGTACTGTGGTCATATAAGAAAATAACCTTATTTGTAAGAAATGTACACTGAAGTATTAAGGGGAAATAGGGGTATGGTGTATAAAATCTATTCTTAAATAGTTCAGAAAAATACTGCCTGTGTGTTGGGGGAGAGAGAAAGAGTGAAAGCAAATTCGGCAAAATGTAAAAACTGGTGAATCTGGGATAAGAATATATGAATTCTTTGTACTGTTCTTGCAACTTTTCTATAAGTATAAAATTATTTCAAAATAAAGTTAAAAAACGCAATCAATCAAAACAACCAACCACCACCACCCCCAGTACAAAATCAACACACGTACATATGCTTTCTTCCTAAA